CATTAAAAAATCGGGAGACAACAGATGCTGGAGAGGATGTGGAGAAATAGAAACGCTATTACATTGTTAGTGGGAGTGTAAATTACTTCAACAATTGTGGAAGACAATGTGGTGATTCCTCAAGGATCTAGAAACAGAAGTACCATTTGACCTAGCAATCCCATTACTGGGTATATACCCAAAGGATTATATATTATTCTATTATAAAGAAATGTGCACATGTATTTTTATTGTGGCACTGTTTACAATAGCAGAGACTTGGAACCAACCCAAATGCCCATCAGTGATAGACTGGATAAAGAATATGTGGCACATATACACCATGGAATACTATGCAATCATAAAAACGGATGAGTTCATGTCCTTTGCAGGGACATGAATGAATCTAGAAACCATCATTCTCAGCAAACTGACACAAGAACAGAAAACCAAACACCGCATGTTCTCACTCATAAGTGGGTGTTGAACAGTGAGAACACATGGAACACAGGGAGTGGAACATCACATACCAGGGCCTGTTGTGGGGGCAGGGGCCTAGAGAAGGGATAGCAGGGGGTAGGGGAATTGGGGAAGGATAACGTCAGGAGAAATACCTAATGTAGATGATGGGGGGATGGATGCATTAAACCACCATGGCATGTGTATACCTATGTAACAAAACTGCACATTCTGAACTTAAAGTATAATAATAATAGGAAAAGTTATACCAAAACTTAAAAAAAAAGAGTAGATCTGGGATTTTTTTTTAATAGAGGACTGAGGGTACTATAAAAGGTTATAGTTGTAATTGATAGAAGGAAGTAATGCAAACCTTAAATGTCAGAAGAACCACGGATACACAACTACAAAGAAGAAAGGCACAAATTGTTGAACAATCCTTTAAAATCTTTAAAACATGGAAAATGCAATAAAAACCCCAAGACAGAAACAATCTCAAGTATATGTAATATGAATAAATGTCAGTGAACTAAAACATATCTATGGTTTTTAAAAATAAGATTTTCAGATTGTATCATATAGCAAAATCCATTTATAGGCTCTATACAAGCGATATTAAAACTAAGTGTTTGAAAAGGTTAAAAATGAAAGACACGGATTCAAGCCAGACAGCATCAAACTAGACAAGAGTATACTTTATGAAGTTAAAATACACAATTCACAAAAAGCAAATTAAAATAGTAGTGCTTTGGTAACTAATTAGATTTTATTTAGAGTGACCCTGTATTCTAGCTTACCATGGATAATTCATGTCTGTTGTCCTGGTTTATTTATTTATAGAATATTCTTTCATATTTAAAGTATACAGGTTTAGATGTTAAATCATATGGTCATTTTAGGCTCATTCCAGGAATACAAGGATGATTCCATGTCAGAAAACATATTCACATCAATATATATCAAGTTTTAGCATTTTGCCATCAGCTTCATAAGCATGTCATGCTGTATCATATCCTTTGTATTGTATCTTATAAGTCTCTGCTTTTCAGCACTCACTTTCTTTGGCTCATTTTATCACAGCTGTGATATATGTTCCTTTTACAGGGTCCCCTAAAAGGCTTTCTGGAAGATTTAGGCAGACTGCAAAAGAAGTTCCATGCCAAAAATGAACGGTTACTTTGTCCTATCAGGACCTACCTGGTTACAGCTAGGAGTGCAGCCAGTTCAGGTGCCCGTGTGCTGAAGACCCTTCGACGCTGGGGTCTAGAGATAGACGAAGCTCTTTTCCTTGCTGGAGCCCCCAAAAGTCCCATCTTGGTGAAGATCCGGCCCCACATCTTCTTTGATGACCACATGTTCCACATTGAAGGGGCACCGAAGTTAGGTCCCATCGCAGCTTATGGCTTTAATAAAAAGTTCAGTACTTAGGGACAGGGAAGAGAAATACAGTGGTGACAGTCTGGTATTACAGAAACTGCTTCTTTTGGCTCTCTAGGATAATTATATAGGTATTTCAGAAGATTGGCCCTTAAAACTTAGCTTCTTTGGAAAGGTTTTCTTTTGATTTTTTGGAAAACCTTGTGAACCCTTAAGTTACCATCAAACTACTCTTTGAACTACCAATACTGCTGAATGCCATTGCACCTATCTCTATGTAAGTCATAATGATGGCTCTTTAGGCTAAGTTTAGACTTGAATATTTGCATGCTTAAGGGACTGTTTTAGAAGCTTACTTGGTTTTATAAAGCAATGCTCATTTTTGGATTTTTGTAGATAGCAGCGACTTGTTACCCATCAGCATTGTAGTGTCTTCAAAGGTAGAATGAGTATGGTTAAGCACACTCTTGAAAACTGGAACTTTGTATTCTGTGACCACCATGTCCAGCTTTTTAACCAATGTAAAATGAGGATTTCACTCTAACTGCATGAGTATAACAATTTTGATACTGCTCATTTAGAAATAAATCAGGTGGTTGTTCCCCCAGGATACTTTGTAAGACAAGCCTTAAACAGAACCTCCTGAGAAGGGTTCTCTGTAAATTACTTGGTGGATTAAATGCCTCTGGTTCACAGAGTTTCATATATTTGAAGTCTCTGGCTTTGGGCCTGGCAAGGTGGCCCATCCATATTTGTACGGATTAAAAAAAAAAAAAAAAAAAAAAAAGACCCTATGCTACCACTCTAAAATGTGACTGAAGTGTATCCTGGCCCTTCATTGTCATTCTCTTTTGATTTTAGTTTTGTTTTTCAACAACTGCTTGATCATTAAATATATCATATATTAGGCATAGTGACCTGGTTATTTCCACGTTACTTATTTTCTTATCAAATTAAATGTTTGTGACATAGTATCATTATTACCTTCCTTTTTATCAATGAGGATGGTAAGATTCAAAAAGATTAGATAGCTTGTCTAAGGATATGAAACTAATGAGTGTAAAGACTAATTAGATTCAAATTCAAATCTTCAAAAGTTATAATGATGTCTCTTTCCTTCCTTCTAAATAGAGTTATTACCCATCTGGTACAGATTAATCATTTCATTAAGTTCCATGAGCAAACTACACAGCATTTACACTACAGGTCTAAGGATTCCTCCTCCCTCTTTTCCTCATACTCTCTCCTACTCTCTCCACCTCCACCTTCATCTCTATTCCACCCCTGACTCTAGTTGAGAAGACCACAGCTGAAACACATCTTCTAATGCTCCCTAATTTGATGTAAACCAGTCCAAAAGATATCAGTTGTGACTACAACATTTACTGAGCACCTACCATTTTCTAGGTGTCCTCCCATGTGAAGACCACAAGAGATACACAGACATAACCCTGTCTTCTAGGAAACTTAAAACCTTAACAATCTGGTCAAGGAAGTCAAATGTACAAACTCAAACAGCCAACACCAGAAGGCTGTTTGTCCTCAGTGCCAATGAGGGTCACACATGAGGTGAAGGGAGCAGAGATCGTTGTAGGCCCAAAGAGGTCAGGAAAGGACTTGAGGTGGCCTTTGACTTTAATGGATGGGTAGAAAGGAAGAGAAAGAAGAAACACATACGCTGGGGGGTCACTGAGTTTGAGTAGCAACTTCAAATTGGGGATAAGGTGGAGTAGGACCATCTCTCATGATTCCTGTTCCTGGTGCCTTGTCTAATCCCCAGTAAGAGTGCTCTTTCCCACCTCTGAGCTCCATTCTCATTACTCATAAGAAACCTCCTGGAATCCATCCCTCTCTCTTGTTTTATGACTACTAGTTGCCTGTTACATCCTTTCCAAAGGTAAGGGAGCGGAAGATTGATTATCACAATTATGTAGGGAGTCTGTTTCAAACTACATAAGCTGTGGCTTTTTTTTCCTTATCTGAAGAACCTGCAATGGGTGGAGGATGGGAAGTGGGAGATCACAGTTCCAGAAAGTAAGCACCCTGAGAGCAAAGATGGTGTCCCATTTTTCTGTAGCTCTAACAGGGAACAGCCAGGGCCAGGCACATGCTGGATAGGGAGGCAGATGAACGAATGAGCCTTTAAAGTAGCTTGGTCTACAGCTAGGAAGTTTGCAGCTTGAAGATGGGTCCCTATGGCACTAACCCTGATATTAATGAGGCATTTTACAGTGAACCAAGCACTGTGCTTTCTACCGTTATGTGCAAACGTTCCATGGAGAGGGCAGGGAAGCATTTGTAAATGGGCCTGCTCAGAAGCCTATATTTACAGGAAGTCCAAGCTTCTCCCACTGTCAAGATCAGTTGAGGATGACTTCCTTTTTTTTCTTAAAGAGACCAATGTCATAACGTCTTCTTCAGTGATCTCAAAGTGTGGTTCCCAGATCTGCAGAAGCAGCAGCTCCTGGGAACTTGTTAGAAGTAACAATTCTCAGGCCCCATCCTGGACCTATTGAATTATAAGTGCTAATACTGAGGCCCAGGTTTTTTGGTTTTCGTTTTCATTCCCCCACCTCGAACCCTCACGCCAAGTCCTCCAGGAGATTCTGATGTGCGTTAAAGTTTGAGAACTACTCGCCCATTCTATTTCCAACTGATTCATGTTGCTAAATTCTTTGTCTTATCTATAAAAAACAGTCCTACCTCAGACTTCCTCTGGGCAGGGACCATTCTCCAGAAGGTGAGTTGAACTGAATTTACAAGTCCCAGGAGCCCTTAACGGAAAACACGAAATGCCCTGAAGAGTGGCATTTGTAATAGGGCCTGTACAGGCATCTATAATTCAAAGTACTCATCAGGCATTACCATGGGGAAGGCCGCCCCTACTCTGGGGTTTCAGTATGTATGAACCACAGTAGCCTGAACACGGTACTGGGTACCCAGTCTCCACCATTAGGCTGGGAAGAGGTTCCCCAGAGGGCGCAGGACTCCAGGCGCTGAACTCCCCCAACCAATCAGGAGCCCTCAGAGGGAAACTACAAGTCCCAGTATGCCCACGCGCACCGTCAGGGGCCGACTCGTCGTGCCCCAGAGTTCTCCGCGTATAGCTGGCCGCCTGGATTCCGGGAAGGCGGTGGCGCCGGAATTCCTGTGGAGGGGCAGGTGGGCCGTCGGGCCGGGCGGTGATGGCAGTGTCCACCGCGGTGGCTGTACTGGCTGCCCTGGGCGGGGCGCTGTGGCTGGCGGCCCGGCGGTTTGTAGGGTCCGGGGTCCAGAGGCTGCGCAGAGGGGGAGATCCCGCCCTCATGCACGGGAAGACAGTGCTGATCACTGGGGCGAACAGCGGCCTGGGCCGTGCCACGGCCGCCGAGCTACTACGGCTGGGGGCGCGGGTGATCATGGGCTGCCGGGACCGCGCGCGCGCTGAGGAGGCGGCGGGTCAGCTCCGCCGCGAGCTCCGCCAGGCCGTGGAGTGCGGTCCAGAGCCCGGCGTCAGCGGGGCGGGCGAGCTCGTAGTGCGGGAGCTGGACCTCGCCTCCCTGCGCTCAGTGCGCGCCTTCTGCCAGGAGATGCTCCAGGTGTGGGCCTCGGGTGGTGGGGGGCCAGGCTGGGAGGAGGGCCTGGGAGCGGGGTGGGAGGGGCTTGCGGACCGCGTCTGAGCCGGGAGGGACCGCCCTGGGGTTCGGGGCGTGACCTTGGGGACCGCTGAGGCTGAGAGGAGTCCAAAAGCCACTTTGAGGCGGCTGGGAAGCTGCAGAGTTCAGAAGGAAAGAGGAGCTAACTGGGAGGGCTGCCTTCTGTCATCTAAGGATGTCGAGAAAGAAATGGGCCCAAGAGAAAAATAAATATAAGCCAGTTTCTGAACATTTCATTTCGTTATGTGAGGACCGCCCCGGAGATAGATCCATGGCCTCTGGATTGTTTTTCTGTGTCAGAAGTGAATCTGCACCGAGTTGTGTCTCTAGAACCCCAGAGCACTGGGAGAAGTTGCTAGCCAAGGACCTCAGATCAGTCCTTTGGAAAATATTTCTCCCTCCCCTAGCCTCTGCCTCTTTTCTGCTGGAAAGGGAACTCCTGCTTCCAGTAAACTCAGCACCATCCTTAACGGGACTCTGGTCTGATTTCCAGGTAGAATAGAGCTTGGAACGCAGTGATCATGCTCCAGACAGAGACAGGAATTAAAAATAATTTAATACCCAGCATTTATTGATGATCTGTATGCCAGGAGCTTTGCCAAGCATTTCAGATCTTCCTTTTTGTTTTAAATGAAAATACAGTGTCCTTGCCAATACTGTCATTGAAGCTATACAGTAACCCTGGGGAGTAGGCATTATTATCCCCATTTTACAACTCGAGGAAACTGAGGCATAGGAAGACTAAGCAAGTTGCTTGTGGTCTGTCTCCAGAACACTTGCTCTTAACCCCATTCTTTCTTCCTGCTGCCTGGTAAGGAGGTATGAGGATTTATTTGTGCAAATGGTAAGTGATTCCACGTAAGTGGATGTTCTCTGTTGAGATTGAGGTAGAAGGGTTTCTTGCAAGGGTAACTGGCATTCAGAGGTCATTTGTTCAGAAGAGTGAAATTTAAAATTAGCTGGGACAAGAAAGGGGCCTATATGACATGGAGTCTCTTGAATCTAGAGAACAGGTTCCCAAGTTTTCTCAGTAATTTTTTCATGATGCCCTTAGGCCAGAAGTATTTCCCAGTTCCTTTATTAAGTAGTTAAGTCCAAACAACTGTAAAACAGAAAAGCTTCTGATATAGGTCTCAATCGAATTACAAAGTTTATTTTGCCAAGGTTAAGGATGCACCCGTGACAGAACTTCAGGAGGTCCTGAGGACGTGTGCCCAAGGTGGTCACGGCACAGCTTGGCTTTATACGTTTTAGGAAGACATCAAATTTGTAAGATGCACATTGGTTCTCCTGGAAAAGTGGGACAACTCAAAAGTGGGGGCTTCCAGGTCATAGGTAGATGAGAGATAAAAAGTTACATTCTTTGGGGTCTTTGATCAGCCTTTTACTGAATGCACAATTTATATGTGCAGGGGGGTTAGAGCAATAATCACTTACGTCTTAGACTGGCTCAGTGAGTTTGCATTTTCACAAAAACAGAAGAGACAGCAATCAGATTTGTCTCAGGTGAGCAAAGGGATGACTTTTGAGTTATTTTATTTGACACTTGTGAAGATGAGCTATCAGTTTATTAATAGATTGCCAGGGTGAAATTCAGCAGAACTGTTTTAGGGTAAGGATCTTGAGGAGGCCCATATGGGCAAATTGTGAGGGTGGTATATAGCTTCTTTTATTTTGTAGCTATCTTAGGAATAAAATGGGAAGCAGGTTTGTCTGAATCAGTTCCCAGCTTGACTTTAACCTTCGCCTTAGTGATTTTGGGCTTTGAGATTTCTTTTCCTTTCACACAACCTAATAAGTAGTTATATCCTAACAACTTAGTAGCTGTTTGAGAAAATAACATACACTTAAAAGAAAAAATAATTATTTTATTATTAAACAGCCATAATTACTAACAGGAAATGTATGCCTGTGGGTCACTGCACCACTGTCTGGAACCTAGGAATCAGATTGGAAACTGCCACTCTCATTTCCTATTCTAGGTAGATTTTTAGCATTGTTCTTGTTTTTTATTACAGCAACTGCATACAGCTGCTTAAAAGTCAGCTCTACGAAGAAATAATATCATCGAAAGGAATATAGCACAATATAATGCTGAAGCTGTGAACCACCTGTAGCTAGTAGTTTTTGAGGTATTGAGCAAAGTATCAGTGTTTTTCTCAAAAATTAAAATATTCCACAACACCTGAGAGTTTGGGAGCTGTTGCAGAACTACAGACTTGGCTTTTGGTTTTTTATTGCTAGTATTTCATTATTGTGTAACACAGGTTAAATAATACTCATCTATGAGATTTTGAAGCATTAAAAATGGGTCTTTCTGTTCTTCATTAAAATACAGATGGGGCTGGGTGTGCTTCTTTGGCACTTGAGGCAGAACTAATTAAAAAGTGAGGACACAAAGAGATAACCAAGTTGTCCTTGCTTCTAAGTATTTCTGTTCCTGCCTGGCTCTGAAGTTAAGTGGCTATAATTAGAAAGAAAAAAAAAATGGAAATGTAGATTTCCCACAGGTTGGTATTCTTGGTATTTATGTCATTTATCTCCTACAATTAAAAAAAATAGTAAATGATGAAATTTTAAAATAACACAAGCCCAGAAGAGAAATGATAGCTAAAGAATGATTAATTCAGGAAACTCTTCAAACGATTAGTGAAAAACAACACTCCTTTCTTTTTCCCATGAGTGAACTCTTGCCTTCTTTTTGAAGTCGACTGTTGGAAAACCCAAAGATGCTTAAACAGGCCAGAATGAGAAATAGTTAATCCTCTGACAGGTGGGCTTTGATAACAGTTTTGAAATGTAACACATTTTTCTTTTTACTTATGCTTGGCAGAAGGGCCAGTGAAATTTGAAATTTGACCTCAAATTAATCATGGGTCATCACAGTGTCTTTACACTTGGAACATTGTTTTGTCCATCAAAAGAAACAGAACAACCGAGAAAACGCTAGAGAAGACCATCTTATATGATTTAGTGAATAAAAAGACTTCCCTATGGGAGCAGTCTAAATGTTAAGACTTTAATCTGGAACGATACAGAAGCATATGGTCAAAGTATAAAATATTGACTGTACAGATTTCCTAAATTAGAGTCGTCCTACGTAGGATATTTATTACCTGTTTACTTTTTTCTTAATCTTTAATCTTTATAAATATCGATTTATTCATGATGTTCTCTCCAGTGTTAAGTTTGCATTTCTGACCTTTTCTATTGCCTTTTCAGTTTTAAGGACATGACTTGAAGTTGTTCCATCCCCATGGTGCCATTTATCCCAAGAGAACTACAGAATAATGCAACCATAAGTTTGCCCTTGGTGTTGATAACTAGTAGCTCTGGGAATAAACTATGCTTACCTGTCTTCTGGTGTATATGGTCTGTCTAGCTTACCATGCCTCTCTAGCTGTTTTGAAAAATCCCAATTAGAAAGGCATGCTAGCTTACTAATTAAGAAAATAGGCCGTGATGTCAAAGACTTCATCTTCGGATCTGATCTTATTTTGCTACTTAGGAGTGCTGATACTGGGCGAGTCACCTAGCCTCTGAGCTACTTATAGAGTTGTTGGAATTAGATGTGGTAACATGTGAAAAGCACAGGCCCTATCAAGCTTGTGCATCTTTTTTTTCTTTTTTCTCTCAATTATTGTAAGCTCATAGAAGCATTTTACAGAATTATAGTAGTCTGCAATTATTTTTAAACATTTTATCATAGATACGTTTATTATAATTTTGATATGATCTCAGTATTATCCTGATAACTCCCAAATTGATATTTTCCTAGTTCATCTGAAATTAAGGGGAGAAATACGGGATATAGGAGTGCCTTGTCCTCAGATTTACTGTATTTCTGTTTTAAGAAAGATCTTAGTACTGATCGATCACTTAGTCAACTTTTTAGTGCAACGGTAAAATTTATGTTTGTAAATATTATTGTTATAAAAGCATATAACCAGAAATTAGGTCTTAGGTCTAGTTTCTACATCCTTTATTGGAAGATTACTATGGATAAATACCTTTCATTATATCATTTTAGTAAATGAGAAAAAAGAGCTATTCAATGAAAAATCATGAATATCAGTATTTATCTGAGGAACATCTTGCAGAGGAATCCCTTCCCCCCATTAATGAAAAACAAAATTGCCAGTGTTTCAAGTAGTTCTCTGATCGATAGACCAACAACTGAAATTAAATGCTTTTAGTCTCAAGTTCCCATTTTTATTAAAATCTAATTACCATGAAGAGAAAAAGCAATACAAGGTGGTGTTCTTAATTCTGCTATTCTCTTTTTGACATTTAAAGGAAGAGCCTCGGCTGGATGTCTTGATCAATAATGCAGGGATCTTCCAGTGCCCTTACATGAAGACTGAAGATGGGTTTGAGATGCAGTTCGGAGTGAACCATCTGGGGCACTTTCTACTCACCAATCTTCTCCTTGGACTCCTCAAAAGTTCAGCTCCCAGCAGGATTGTTGTAGTTTCTTCCAAACTTTATAAATATGGAGATATCAACTTTGATGACTTAAATAGTGAACAAAGCTATAATAAAAGCTTTTGTTATAGCCGGAGCAAACTGGCTAACATTCTTTTTACCAGGGAACTAGCCCGCCGCTTAGAAGGCACAAATGTCACCGTCAATGTGTTGCATCCTGGTATTGTACGGACGAATCTGGGGAGGCACATACATATTCCACTGTTGGTCAAACCACTCTTCAATTTGGTGTCATGGGCTTTTTTCAAAACTCCAGTAGAAGGTGCCCAGACTTCCATTTATTTGGCCTCTTCACCTGAGGTAGAAGGAGTGTCAGGAAGATACTTTGGTGATTGTAAAGAGGAAGAACTATTGCCCAAAGCTATGGATGAATCTGTTGCAAGAAAACTCTGGGATATCAGTGAAGTGATGGTTGGCATACTAAAATAAGAACAAGCAGTAAAAGAGCTATTTATAAAACTACCTATCAGTTATATCTGTGATCAGGAATGGTGTGGCTTGAGTACTTGTTACTTGAAGTAAAAGAATTTTGGTATTGCAATAGCACTGCTAAGAGGTACATGTGAATGTTTTGGAGTTATTGAAAAATTTTGGGGATAACAAAATTTGAGCAAAGATGTTTTAAATATATAGTAAATATAATGAATAATAAGTATAATGAAAAATATATTGTAAAATTATAACTGGGTAAGCATGAATGGCAAATATTAATATTTATCAGAATTAAGTGACTCAAAGTGCTATTCAAGAGGTTTTTCAAGTATCTTTGAGTTTCATGGCCAAAGCATTAACTATTTTTACGACGATGCTTATTTTTGTGTAGAAATAATCTCCCTGGTGTGTGCACACAAGTCTTACTTGGAATAAATTTACTGATACAGGTTATTTACTGTGTATTTCTTTGGAGACTTCACTGAATACGGTCTTTTAGCCTGTCACCGTTAGCCTTGGCAGATCTTAGTCCGCCAAGTCTCTTCTTGCCACATATCTTGCACACTGCTCTGAGAGATATATCTAAAACTCAAATCTGTCACATCCCTGCTTAAAAAACAGTGGGTTTTGAGCTTTTTAAACAAACATGCAGAATTATTTCTTCAAAAGAATTGTTTCACTGAAATGTAGAAGCTGGAGGGGTAAAGCAGGTTATAGCAGTGCTGCCAAGGTGGAGTCCCCCAAGTCTCCTCCTAAAGGGATTTCATAGAATGTAGTTGTTTGTTTATAAACCACTTTTATTTAGATTAAAGATTAAACTGTTTAAGAGAGTTGAGGCTCCATGAGGCAGCACCATGCTTACCCTATACTCTCACACTCAGCACTGTTGAATAGAACTACAGTGAGGGATGGAATGTTCTCTTCGTTGTCAGATGTGGTGGACTCTAGGTAAATTGGGGTTATTAAGTACTTCAAATTCAACTAAGAACTGAATTTCTAATTACAGGTAATGTTAATTTAAATAGACACATGTCTAGCAACTGGTGTCTTGGACAGTTCATCCCATCAGATAATCCAGTCCTGATTGTAGAACAGTCACCTACTCACTTGCTCTGGGCCTTTCTTTATATTGTTCTTTCAGTCTGGAATACCCTCTCCTTCTTCCTTGGAAATATGACTTACCCTTAAGGTTCCTTTCAGATGTGTTCCTTTTTCCAACCCCTGTAAGGAGAGGTAATTCTCTCTTCCTACTTTTTTTTCCCTTGATCTTGGTACTTTCACTAGGAGTTTAGTGCACTAATTATTCATTCACAGGTTCAGTTAGATAATTAGAATAGAAATTCTCTAAGGAAAGGGGATTTATTTAATTATTAACTTTCTTCCCTCAAGTATCAAGTATAGTACCTAGTACACAGTAAAAATGCAATAAATACTGATGTGCATAAGAATAACTGAGCCCAAATAGGACTATTGTAGGCATCCATGTTACAGTGGCAAAAGTATCTACTTAATTATTTCAATTATTTGTCTCACCGTCTCCTTATATTGAAAAAAGGAATTATAACACTGAAGTATAGACAGCTAAACTGAATTTAATGACTATTTAGTCCAGGGATAATTCTTGATTGGTTAGTATTTTAAAGACCATTTATAATAGCAGGTTACCAGTATCAGTTATTTTCAAGAATGGCAGGATCTTGGCATATCATGCAGAAGGTCTGTTTTCTGTTAGAGCATTGCCTTGTGAATTGGAGAAACAGTGTTCGTATCATCACAGGTGTGTCTCTGCAGGTGTAGTGGATATAGCTGCATCATGTTCTTTGAAACACTGTATTTTTAAAAAGTAATCCTACAATGAGACCTGCTGAACTTAGAAATATGGGCAGGAATACACCAGAATGCAACTTGGAAAAATGGAAGCTAATAAATCTGTCCTACACCTCGACTTCATTAAAAGGGAGCCCCTTTTTTATTTAATACCATCTTTTCTGGCTGCATTTTGATACTTGATGCTTTTCAGGGGATTTGGACCTTTTGTAAGAGTTGAGCCTTTCAGAGTTCTTGCTTGTGGCACCATAATAAAATAGGATATATTAACTTATCCTGATGGAAAACTAGAAACTTATCTGGAAACACCAACTATTAAGGTAAAATGAGTGCCGTTTGGAAGATGTCCTTCTCACCACTGTGTTTGACGGAATCGAGGACTAAGAGCTCCAAAATGGTGCGTTAGATTTTGAAGACTGAGTCCTTAACTTCTCTCCTTCTTTCTCCCTTTTGCTGACTCACTTTAAACAATTTTACTGGGCAAAGAAATAAGTAAAAGGCAGTCCTGTTATTTTGATACTTGTTCTCACCCTCAGCAGTATATTAGAGGGAAACCTGTAATGTGCCAGATAATGGAAGAAGTGTGTTGAAAACCCATTTTCCATGTTGGTTCTTGGTTTCATTTTTTTTTTTTTTTTTGAAAACTTGACTCTTGTTTCAAGCAGCTTATTCTGAGCAGGGTTGAGGTTGCTGGCCTTCTGTTTCAACTTCACTTAGAGCAACCATTTTATATAGTAGGGTTCTAAGTAGCATTTAATTGGAGAAGGGGCTTCACAGCTTAAACACACCACCACATTCAGTTTAACTAACAGCTCTACTGCGTAACACTTCCTGTAACCCTGGCAAGTTACTTAAACTTTCTGAGCTCTTGGTTTTTTTGGCCCTATGTTGAAATAGAAGTGTCTACTTTAAAGGATTACTCAGTGAATGAAAGTGACAGAGTAAGTAAAGCCTTTAGCAAAGTGCCTGGCACATGTGGGCACACATCCATTTCTTCTTCCACAATGCAACTAATCATTACTATCTATTAGTAATAGTTATTAGCGATGCTAATGTAGGCAAGTACATATGATGGAAACAAATCTCTAAGCCAAAGGTCACCAGACTTCATCTAAAGGGCCAGTTTTTTTTAAATTATGTTTTAAAAGTGTAAAAACCATTTGTAGCCAGCACAGACCATACTATTGTACTTAGATAACTTGTACAGCCTTCCAGGGCCAATGTACTCCCTTGTTTGCTTTTGAGACGCCTTGTTTGGGAGTAGTTGTCATATATGCTGTAGCTCCTGTTACTCTAGAAGGCTGCTGTTGTTTTTCCATATTATTTCTAATCATGGATGACCATTTGCTTGCAGATCCAGGAAGCCTAGAGAGTGTATTTTAAAAGTCTGTCTCCAGCTATAGACTCTGGTGTGAGGAAGAGCAGTTATCTGCCTTCAACCCCCTCCCCTGGCAAACCTGCTGGGCCTGGCCAGAGATCTGAGGGAATCTGTATTTGAATATTTAATTGATTCCAAATGTCCTATGGAACACTGAAGAGAGAACATGTTACTAATCACACTTCAGGAGCTTGGCCCCCACAGACAGCTTCAGATGTTTCACAAACCTTCTCTGGGCAATGGGGAGTTAAATTAGTTACAGGTTAACATGGGGAAAGGTAGTTTATTCCTAGAGGAAACTAAGATAGAGTGCTCAGTTTTATGCAGACAGTAAGGAAAAGTTTTTCTAAGCCAGATGTGTAATCAAAGTGCAGTGGAAGCACTTTTAAGCAACTACCATCTAACAGATTTGTTATAATAACTGATTCTCCATTCTTTTTTTCAAAAAAATAAAAAAAAAACTAATGCACATAGCATGTGAAACTTCTAGGCTGATAGGCTTTCCTCTAGCACAGAACAGCCTTTCTGCCCTCTCTTGTTCTATTATATATTTAAGGGTGAGTTGCATACCATTCATTATTCACTTAGCAAATATTTATTGAGTACCTATTATGTAACCAGGCATTATTCTACTTCTGGAGATGCAGGAGGCAACAAAGAAAACCCAACCCAATTTGTGCATGCATGTGTCAACTGTGCTGGTTAATCATATTACAAATTATTAATCATACTGCAAATCAATGAAATATGAGTACAAATGTAATTTATATGAAAAGTAGAAAAGTTGCTTTATAAAAACTAAATGAAGGCAAGTTACTAAAAATTTACTGTTGACTAACTACCAAATACTAAAAATAAATACAAAAAATAAAAGGAATCTGTAGTTAGTGCTTTGCAAGTTACTTTAAATTTGAGTCTATTTTAAGGACAAAAAAGCTAGAAATCTGACTCTGCTATTTAAGCAAGTACAGGAATACCTCAGAGATGCTTCTGGTTTTGTTCCAGATCACCACTACAAAGCAAATATGACAATAAAGTGAGTTACACAAAGTCTTTTGTTTCTCCATGCATATAAAAGTTATGTTTCTACTATACATAATATACTATATACTATACCTATTATACATAATATACTATACATAATATACTATAATATGCCTATTGTCTATTAGGTGTGTAAGACCATTATGTCTAAAAACAATGTACATAACTTAATTTAAAAATACATTTTTCTAAAAAACCTCTAACAATTATCTGAGCTTTCAATGAGTCATTATCTTTTTGCTCTTGGAGGGTCTCACCTTGATGTTGAAAACTGCTGACCGATCAGAGTGGTGGCTGCTGAATGCTGAGTTGGCTGGAGCAATGTCTGAAAAACAACAACAATGCAGGTTGCCAAATTGATAGACTCTTCCTTCCAGGAAGGATTTATCTGTAGCATATGGTGCTATTTACCCACAGTTGAACTTCTTTCAAAATTGAAGTCAGGTCTATCAAACCCTGTTGCTGCCTTATCAACTAAGTTTATGTAGTATTCCAAATCCTTTGTTGTCATTTCAGAAATGCTCATAGCCTCTACAACAGGAGTAGATTCCATCTACAGAAACCACTTTCATTGCTCATCCATAAGAAACAATTCCTTGTCTCTTCAAGTTTTATCATGAGATTGCAGCAGTTCACTCACATCTTTAGGCTCTACCTCTAATTCTCTGGCTATTTTTACCTCATCTGTGTTTACTTCCTCCAGAGAAGTTTTGATCCCTCAAAGTCATCCATGAGGGTTGCACTCAAATTTTTTCAAACTTCTATAAATGTTGATATTTTGACCTCCTCCTGTGAATTACAAACGTTCATGATGGCATCTAGAATGGTTAATACTTTTCCAGAAGCTGTTCAATTTATTTTGCCCAGATCCATCAGAGGAATAATTCTGTGGCAATTTTAGCCTTATGAAATGTTATTTCTTAAATAATAAGATTTTTTTTCTTTTTTTTTTTTTGAGACGGAGTTTCGCTCTTGTTACCCAGGCTGGAGTGCAATGGTGCAATCTCGGCTCACCGCAACCTCCGCCCCCGGGTTCAGGCAATTCTCCTGCCTCAGCCTCCTGAGTAGCTGGGATTACAGGCACGCGCCACCGTGCCCAGCTAATTTTTTGTAATTTTTAGTAGAGACGGGGTTTCACCATGTTGACCAGGATGGTCTCGATCTGTTGACCTTGTGATTCACCCGCCTCGGTCTCCCAAAGTGCTGAGATTACAGGCTTGAGCCACCGCGCCCAGCCCGATAATAAGATTTTACAGTCAAAATTACTCCTTCATCCATGGGCTGCAGACTAGATGTATGAGCAGACATGAAAACAACATTAATCTCTTTATACATCTCCAGCAAAGTTCTTGGGTGACTATGTGCATTGTCAAGGAGCAGTAGTATTTTGAAAGGCATCTTTTCTGAGCAGTAGGTTTTAACAGTGGACTTAAAATTTCAGTAAACCATGCTGTACACAGATGTGCTGTCATCCAGACTTTGTTGTTTCATTTATAGCACATACGCAGAGTAGATTAAACATAATTCTTACAGGCCCTAGAATTTTTGGTATGGTAAATGTGCATTGGCTTCAACTTAAAGTCACCAGCTACATTAGCCCCAAAAAAGAGAATCAGACTGTCCTTTGAAGCTTGGATGCCAGGCATTGACTTTTCTCTAGCTATAAAATCCTCAGATGGCATCTTCTTCCAATGGAAAGCTATTTTGTCTACATTGAAAACCTGTTGCTTAGTGTATTTGTCCATTTTCATGCTGTTGATAAAGACATACCCAACACTGGGCAATTTATAAAGAAAAAGATGTTTAATGTACTCACAGTTCCATGTGGCTTGGGAGGCTTCACAATCATGGCAGAAGGTGAAAGGCACATTTTGCATGGTGGCATGGAAGAGAGAAAATGAGAGACAAGCAAAAGGGATTTCCCCTTATAAAACCATTATATCTCATGAGACTTATTCACTACCATGAGAACAGCACAGGAAAGAGCTGTCCCCATGATTTAATTACCTCCTGCGGGTCCCTCCCACGACATGTGGGAATTGTGGAAGCTACAATTCAAGATAAGATTTGGGTGGGGGCACAGCCAAACCATATCACTTAGTGTGGCCACCTTCATCAATGTTCTTAGCTAGCTATTCTGGATAACTTGCTGTAGTTTCTGCATTAGCACTTGCTGCTTCACCTTGCACTTTAATGTAGAGATAGCTTCTTTCCCTAAACCTCATGAACCAACCTCTGCTGGGTTCAACCTTTTCTTCTGCAGCTTTCTTACCTCTCTCAACCCAGATAGAGATGAATTAGGGCTTTGCCCTGAATTAGGGTTTGGATTTAGGGAATGTTGTGGCTGGTTTGATCTTAGAAGATCACTTTAGGCAGCCCACTAAAACTTTCGCCATATCAGCAATATAAGGCTGTTTTACTTGCTTATCATTTATGTGTTTACTGGAATCACACATTTAATTTCTTTCAAGAACTTTTCCTTTGACTTCACAACTTGGCCAACTGTTAGGCACTAGAGGCCTTGCTTTTGGCCTTTCTTGGCTTCCAACATGTCTTCCTCACTAAGCTTAATAGTTTCTACTTTTTGATTTGAGAAATGTAAGACTCTTTCTTTCACTTGAACATTTAGTAGCCATTGTAGGATTATTAATTGACTTAATTTCAATATTGTTGTGTCTCAGGGAATAGGGAGGTCCAAGGAGAGGGAAAGATGTGGGAATGACTGGAGCAGTCAGAGCACACACAACATTTATCAATTACGTTTGCCGTCTTATATGGGCAGGATTCCTAGTGCCCCAAAACAATTACTATGATAACATCAAAGATTACTGATTACAAATCACCATTACAGATAAAATAATAATAAAGTTTGAAATATTGCTGACCATTACCAAAATATGACACAGAGACATGAAGTGAGCACAAACCATTGGAAAAATCTCACCAATGGACTTGCCCCATGCAAGGTTGCCACAAACCTTAAGTTTGTTAAAAGAAAAATGCAATATCTGCAAAGCACAGTCAAGTGAAGCATGATAAAACAAGACAGTCTTGAGCAATGTAAGAAAATGAAATTCCAAGTGAGTCCACGCTCAAAAAGGAAAACAACAAAGATGCCACTTGAACTCTTAGTTTTATATTAGAAGATAGGCAAAGAAATGAAAATGTTATATATTTTAAACTAAAAAATTTTGTGGTACATAAGATTCATCCTTTTTATTTTCTGCTTTAATAACTTTTAAAATGTAACCAACCAATTCAAAATAAGAATGCTTCCATTGTACAACAGAGGTACCACTGCATATCAGTAGAGTTTTCATTGGGAGGGATTAGACAACAAATGTATTCTGTGTAGTGAAGCATATTTTTCCAAGGACTTCTAAATTAGGGGATAGTTTTATTTTTAAAAGTATACCAATAAATTGAATGATAATTAGATATATTTGATCCTAAAGTGTTTTGTAGCTGGTCCTTAAGATTTAGTTTCATCATCAGCTTTGTTTCTCTTTCTTTCATTTAAAAAGCTCTCACTAATTGTGATAAATAAGTTCCTGAATGTTTAATAAAGTTATTTTTCAGTATGTCATTTTATATTTAGAAGTTGCCATGTTACATATGAACTATTACAGCCTGGTCTGTCCTAAGTTGGGGATTTTACAGTCTATTAAAAACAAAAAAAGTTTCTACCTTCCTTTGTAATGTTGAACTTAAGAAAAGCACTTGTGCCTTTCTCTTTTTTCTTTTTGGTATAACCCACAGATGTACATAGTTCTCCAGCTTTGGACAGAATGAAATTCATTCTAAATCTTTTTAATAGCCCCCTTTTTTGCTACTATGAGAGTAGTAAGGTGAATAATAAGTAGAATTTTGAGTTGTAAGCGTATTCAAAGCATTTATCTGTGCCGACATACATATATGTTGGCACTTCAGTTACATCTTAAAGTTATCCACATGGTTTGAGGAAATGTTGAGCACAGAGAAATATATAATCATTATTAGTTTGTGAAAAAGCAAAGTGAGTTTCTGCCACCAACCCATGAAAGCACAGGAAATGGCTTCGTGTAGTAGGTGTTTGAGTCTAGGCATTCTGTTGACAGAAGTGGGTTCTACCCAGGGGTCTTGTGTTAATGTAATCAAACACTTCAGAGCTACAGCCTAGCAAGATCAAGTCCACCCACCTCAGAGTTTATCTTTAGCTCATCTGGAAGAGTTTATTTTAAACACTGAACATTGTTTGCTGCTGTTGAAATGAAAGTGAGAGAGTTACAAGCTTTCTTCCACTGCCATCTGGCAGGTTTACTGATGGATCGGGTTCTTTAATCCTTGTAACCCTGTGTGTGGGAGCTATTGTCTTTGTGATGATCATGCAGCTGGCTTGGCTGAACTTTAAAAAGCTTACACAAAGCTATCAAAAGCCATCCTATAGATAAATGAAGTTGAGGATGTTGCAAAAGTCACTGAGGCCTTTTTGGAGAAGGCTTGGATATATGTTTTTTTCATTCTTCACTGAACAGACACTTTGCATGTTCTCTTTAAGAACTGGAAAAGAGGAAGAGAACTGTATTTGGATATTTTGAAAGAAATAACTGAAGCTACCAAAAAAAAGTGACTAATCTCTATGTAGCATAGTACAAAGGAAAGAAACAGCAGATTAGGGGATTCATATTTCATTAAACAAAATGTGGGATGTAAAAAGTCATGTAAGTGTGCTCTTTTTTCAGTGGAGGTTTGTCTGACTTTTTCTGCACTCTATATATGGCATAGGATGTTCAATGATACACTTATTACATACTGAATCATTAGTTATAGCATCTTCAGGTATAGTACTACACAGAATCTCATGCAGTATGTTACTAAGAATAATAATTTACTAGCAACTCCAGAGCACAATTTCAACCATATCCTCAAACGCATATATACATTTGCATTAAGAGATTGCATGCAAAGAGTAGGTCATGCGCAAGATAGGGTATCTTGCATAAATTTTTATATTACGTTTATAGGAACATAAGAAGACAAATGAAACATGAAATCTTTTAGATATGGTCAATTGCTATTCAGTTTTCTTTCCTACCTACATCTAGAGTATCCTTTTTATCTTACATGAGTTGGAAGGTTTAAAAACAAAAACAAAAAAAACTACATTGCCTACATCATGGATGAAAACCAGTTTCCACCAAACAGATACCCATGAAATTAGATGTTGTGGGGACAATCGAGAAGGTCTTTTTACCTACTGTTCTGGGCTATTTTCTGCTGTCAAGAAAGGCCGTAGAAACAGAGTCATTTTCTTTTTGTTCAGTTTTGTTTTCTTTGTTTTGAATTGTTTTAATAACAAGAGAAAATTGTAGAGCAGACTCTACAATGATTCCATGTCCACTCAACTCCTGATGGCTGCTGAGAGGAGGCTGCAGTGGCAGTGGTATCCTGATCCCAGTTCCCTGATATTTAGATCTCAGGATGACACATGATTCCATGTGTTTTAACTTGTACTTCCATTGGCAGCCTTTAGATCTTACACCTTCCCAAAGGTGCAGATTCGGGCAGAAGTTACCTTCCCCTAGCAGGTCAATTCTTGTGTATTCTTGGAGTCATTCCTATCTCTGGAACCTATACCATTCTTCCAGCCCTTCCCATTATTCTATACATACTTACTTTGCTGTTAGAAAATTCTGTTCCTCTCTCCTTAAGATATCTGGGATGGATTGTTTCGTATAACAAATATAGTCTACCAGGATTACTGACCAGAAAGGAAAAACATAAATTAGTAAACAAAATCACTTTGCAATGACCTGGGGGTAGGTTCAGGGAAGAAAAGCAATCAATATGGCATTTCTTTAATCACAATTGTACAATGTTTAAGCCTTAACTTAGCAGCCTCAGATATCTGAATTTGTCAAAATATCTGTCAATAATGAGAAAACAACAAAAGGACAGGAAACTTCTCTTTCGGTAGCAAAATGTATCCTAATAAAGAAAATCCATTTGGGGAGCCAATTTAGAATCTTAAATAGTTCTTCTAGAATCAGAACACAGGATGTGACTTCTGAGATAGAATTAGTGGCATTAGCAGTAATATCTGCATTAGGACTAAGGAAGGTGATTTATGCCCTGGATACAGCTCTTTAAGTGGGCCTTGTAATTATGTGTTCTATTATGGCTGACTTTACTGCCTCTGAGTGACTTTTTTTTTGAATATGTGCATTTAAATGTTTGTAGTCTGCTGTATGACAGAGGAGTAGAAAAGGCCAAGTGAACCAGCCATATTCTAAGACACAGGTAAGGTAGAGGAAGCTATTATTCACAGTTGGAGACACTGGTGGTTGAGAAAACTCTGTATCAGGATATAGATATTCCTATATGAGAAATATGAGACTATGTTTCCTAATATGAGATTTCTGCTGAACAGATTAATTTATCACAGCTGTTTTCCATTTAGGAAAAATGTAATAAATACAAGGCTTCCTTCAGCAGTCGATGTGATTAGGACTATAGAATGACTCGTGATGGATAATCCTGCGTAAGTGTCTTGGGTAGTGTGAATGGATTAGAAATTCATTCATGACTGAATCCTTGGTTACCTTATATTTATTTCTATTTCTACACTGCAAATCAAGTCAGAGAAGTAGATGGGAAAGGATTCAAAGGTTAGGTCTGAGTGGTCAAGAGCTAAACGGTGAATACACTGAGAGCAGGAATCTGTTTGACTCTTTTCTGTATACTGGTAACATCTGGCATGGGGCTCTTATATATCAATCACTCACAAAATATTAGATTGACAAATTAATTAGTTAATTAATCACCTGAAAGCTCAGCTGTCTACCACATTACTGATGGCGAGGATAGATGGAGCTGATTTGGCTGTCCTGGTAGATGTCTCTTACTATACCCTAGGAAATGAGTTCCATCTTCACTGAAGAAAAGAGAGTCCTTCTGGCTTGTGAAGCCAATGCCGGATTATTCAACACTCATATGTAATAGTCAAAATGGTAAGCATGAAAGAGCCATTAAGTAAGTATGTTACTATTTTTGACAATGATAATCAATGGTAATTGGGAATTAGTATAAAGAAAGCTAGAACATCTACAAAGAAAGCATATCATCATCATCATCATCATCATCATCATCATCATCTTGCCACAAATTCCCCTGGAAGCTTCTGTATAGTTCAGTCAAACTATTCACTACTGTCTTCTGGTTCTTTCTGCAGATGCCTGTGTATTCTAGTAAGCAGCCTGTCTTCAGTTGACAGACGTGACTTGCTAAAGCCAACACACTTAATGTTGCCATCTTTAGTACTGATTTACTCCATCTCTTAATTAATTTCCAAATAAGTATGTATGTAGGAAAAAACTAAAGAAGACTTATTTTCTTTTCAAAATAATGCCACATTCTTTCAAATCCCTAAGACAATGGCTCATCAGTTAATAGAACAAAATAGGACACATGATTAAACTCATTAGGGAAAATTCTTTCTAGAATAAAAACTATTTATTTGAGATAGTTTACATATATCATCTCTAATTCTTGTAACAACATTATAAGCTATTCTTATGCCTAATTGATAGATAAGAAAATGAGAATTCAGAAAACTTAAGTGACTCGTCTGAAGCCTGATGAACTCATGATTTGGACTGAAATCTTTAGGGTTTAGAACCTTTGGCTTTTTCACTATACCAGCAGATACTTCTTTCAGTGAATTAAAACAATGTACATAGAAAAAGTTAAAATTTCCTCAGAAATAAAAGCAATTGTAGATGTTGAACTCTCATGTGTAGTTATTATTCAAAATCTTTCTCTTTAATATATTCATTTTCTAGAGTAGATGTTATTTCAAATAAGAGTATTTCTGCCTGATAGGTCAAGAATGTGTTAAAAAAATTTTCACCGACTACTATATTTAGTTTCTCTGTCAACACAAGTTAATTGAAAAGGTTTCTGCATAGTATCCCCAAGTGTAAATTATTTATCAGTGTGGTTAAATAACCCAGTGCCACTCTAGAGTGTTGGTTTCCTGCCAGAGGGATATATATCATCTTTCAGGGGTTTGGAGAAACTGCACAAACAATGAACATGTCTGAGTTAAATCACAATATGATGATCAAAAGAACCATATTAGAGTACTATATAGTAAATGCAACCATTTCTTTTGAAATGCAACAGTTTTAACTCTCCAACATCTGCTGAGAATTCAGAGATTAGATATAACTCTGAAAACCCACTAAAGACTTCAAATGTTTAGCATAGCTTTCCCATTATACAACTGATAACACACTTAATATGGCAATATTATTTCATAAAAATTTCTGAATAAAATTAGAGGTCACAGAGAAAATAATGTATTTTCCTTTTCAAAAATATTATTTAAGGGAATGTCAGCTTCTAGACATAATGAGATAAACTACTTTGACCAATTTTTATTTCAGAACAACTAGAAATTCTGGATAAAATTTAAATAGATAGATAAGTATATGTCTTTTTTTTCCTTCTTAAAAACATCACAATGCTACAAGCTGGTGAAAAATGTTTAAGTCAAAATAAGCCAAAGTGAAGGTGAGAATCCTAAAAGCTAAGAGAGAATGCAAAATCACTTTTACCCAGGAGGCATTTGTCTTCCTAGCAGAAACAACAAGGAATGTGAATGTTTGCTTTGACTGCCTAGCACCTCAAGAACATGAGAAGTGAAAGTCTGCAAAAAATCTGGGGTTTGACAGATACCCACATAGATTCATACTAAGCTAGATTCTGAAAGACCGCATGTTCAAGTTAAGGTATGCATGAATTAGCACTATTATACTCCTAACTCTCCCATGGAACAGGAGAGTTGCCTCAACACTGAGCAGAAAAAGTATGTATAAAAGGAAAAAAAGGAAAATCTTTACCCCAAAGATTACAGAAATACAAATGGTTTTACCAGGGCAATCCAAGAAAGCTCAAACCATCAATTTGGTCCAAAATTGTTAGGGACTGATAGTATACTAAATGTCTGGAAGCAAAAAAAAAAAAAAAAACCCACATCTTCTTTGAGGAAGATAACTTCGTAAAAAAGCTTGGGCAGCCCCTGTAAATAATATTTTTAGGAGTGAGTAGCACTAAGGATACAGGTACAGAGACCATGAGTCAGAATCAGCAGCACTGATCCAGATATTTCAGATATGGGAATTGTCAGACATAGAAAGAAAGAGAGAATAGGAACAGAAGAAATATTTGAAGAGATAATGAGAGTTTTCTAGAATTGATGAAAAACAACAATTCATAAAAGAAGCCTAGTTTTAAATAGCAACATTGAAAAGGCATTTACTAAAAATTTGTGCGTACACATGGGTGGACATAAGATCTACAGATGTTCAGAGAATCTTTATTAATAATTGCCAGAACTTGGAAGCAACCTGCCCTTCAGTAGGTGAACAATAATAAATTGTGATACTTTCAATCAATACAACAGTATTGCTTCTAACAAGAAAAATGTGGTATCAAGCTGTAAAAATACAGAAAGAAACCTTAAATGAATGTTGCTAAGTAAAAGAAGCCAAACTCAAAATGTTTCATACTGTATGATTTGAACTATATGACATTCAAAGGCAAAACTGTGGAGACAGTAAAAAGACTAATGCTTGCCAGAGGTTGCGGGGAGGAAAGAATGAAAAGGTAAAGTATACAGGATGTTTAGGTCATCGAAACTATTCTTTGTGGTATGACAATGGTAGATTTATATGAAAACCCGAAGAAAGTACTATACCAAAAGTGAATCCTATTTAGAAAAAAAAAGCATTCATACCAAGATACATCATAAAGAAACTATAGACAACAGAAGCCAAAGAGAAGATCTTAAAAAGCACAGAGAGAAAAAGAAAGATCATCATTAAGAGAGACAATTGATGAGCAACTACCTTTTCACCTGCAATTATGTAAGCCAGGACAGAGGAATTAATCTAATGAATAAAAATAACTGCCAACTTAGAATTCTATACCCAATCAAAATATATATCAAGAATGGATATGAAACAAAAAATGTTAACAAAGTTACCCAAACTGAGAGAACTGGCCACAGCTGAACCATAACAAAGGACATTCTAACTGATTCACCTCAGTTTTAAAGAAAATAATTCCAGATGGAGGTTCTGAGACTCATGAAATAGTCAAAACCAAAGAAAATATTAAGTAAAAATAAAACTGATAATTATATTAGGAAATAACAATATAAAATAGTAAGGAAAATGGTGACTTACATCTAACCATATTTAGGTATAAATCAGGAAGGGGTGAATTGAGTTAAAGTATTCTAAATATTTTCAATTGTCTAGAAATAATATGAAAGTAAACACTGATACTAAAATTTAAGTCAAGGATATATGATGCAATAGAGAGTAGCCACTGAAATAATAAGAAGTATAATCTTCAAATGAAGAAGGAAGAAAATAGCCAGAAAGATAAAAATAATCTTTCTGAAAAATATAGTGTGAGGCACAAAATAATATGAGAGATTTAACTAAAACTGTATAGTTACAATAAATGTAACTGATTAAATTCTTCTGTTAAAAAAATAGATTTTAGACTTTTTTTAAAATCGAATTTCATGCTGTTTCAAGAGACGCATCTTAAATGTAAGTACGAAGATAGGTAGAAAATAATTGGTTTATCTGTATTAAGACAAACTAGAACTTAAGCCAAAAAGCATTACAATAGAAAGAGAAGGTCACTGATGATAAGAAAAGTTTTAATTCACCAGGGAAATATATGTTTTTTTTTAAATTGCAAGAATTTAACTGCATGAAAATTTAAAATTGTAGAGTCTCAAATGCACAAAACAAAAAGCAAAACTACATATCTGCAAGGGAAATAGTCATATCTACTGTAATAGCGAATTTTTAAAATGCAACTCTCTCAATAATTGAGAAAGGGGACCAAGTATCAGTGAGCCTACAGATGATTTGAACAACAATCTGATTAATAAAGTTGATGGAATGTATAGATATGGAACACGGCACTCAACAACTCCAAGATACACCAACTTTCAAGCACAGACAGAATCTCAAAATATGACTTTCTATTGGAGTATAAAGCAAGGTTTAACATTTATTATGGATTTGAGATTGCATGGAATGTATTCCCTAATCACAATTCAGCTAAAATAAACATTAGGAACTAAATGATAATTTGAGACTCTCATAAGTTTGAAAAGATGGAAATATATTTCTAAATTATCCATGGATCATATAAGAAATCAAAATGGAAGCTGTTGTTGTTGGTATGTTTGTTTTTTTGAGATGGAGTTATGCTCTTGTTGCCCAGGATGGAGTGCAATGGCGTGATCTCAGCTCAATCTCAGCTCGGCAGGATCTCAGCTCACTGCAACCACCGCCTCCTGGGTACAAGTGATTCTCCTGTCTCAATCTCCTGAGTAGCTGGGATTACAGGTATACCCCACCATGGCTGGCTAATTTTTATACTTTTAATAGAGACAGGGTTTCTCCATGTTCATCAGGCTCGTCTCAAACTCCCGACCTCAGGTGGAAGTTTTAAAATATTTTGAAAAAAAAAAGATAATGAAATTATAGCCTTGAATAAATATATAAAAATAGAGCATAACTAGAAATCAATTAATTATGTGGTCATCTCTAGAAGTTAAAGAAAGTACAGCAAAAACTAAAGAAAGTTTAAAAAAATTAAAAGCAAATGAAATAGTTCTTCTATTGCTATCACTTATGACAACAAATGTGTGGGGTACCAGTCTTTCAATTCTCTGCAATCATCAGCTGGGTGTCCAATTATTCAATTCTATTCTGAAATAATCTATGAATAATCAATGTCAGACTCCAAGAGTTAAAGGCTCAGTCCCACAAGACCACTCTGCCCTACAATTTGCATTGATTGAAAGTAGTGGGTCCACAGATTACCTACATTTTGTCCAACTTGGCCACAAATGAGAAGTTGTCACCAACCTATCCTCCGGTTCAATAGTTTGCTCACAGATGGTGGGTCATCCTTCCAGCACATGGCTGCATTCAGCAACCCAGAAGCTCTCTGAACCCTATTGTTAGGGTTTTTTATGGAGGTCCCATTATATAGGCATGATTGATTAAATCATTGTCTTTTGGTGATTGAACTTAATCACCAGTTCCTCTACCCTCCCCAGAGGCTGGGGAGTAAAACTATATATTCCAACCCTCTAATCCTGTGGTGTACCTTTCATTATGAAAAGTTAATCCAATCAAATATTCAAAGGCTTAACAAAAGTTGCAAGAAGTAGGTTGGTTAAGATGCCTTGTTCCTTAGAGAGCACTCTGGCGTGCTGAGCCTCTTCCATCACAACTACCAGCAAGCTGTCTCTTTCCACTTTCCATTGACCAGGTCAGAAGCAGTCATGCTTATTGGCTTATGGATGGTGCTCCATCTCTGACTGAGAAAACTGGCAGATGCCTTGTGAGTGGCTTACTTCCTGAGGAGCGTGTTGTTATTTTCTCTGGCTCATTCTGGCATGTGCATCCTCTCATCAGCCTACTTCATTTGACAATATTATAAGATCTGTCAGAAATGCTGTTCTCATCTGCCTATTTTAACACTGTCTGCTAATACAGACGAAAATTGTATATTTTGAGCAGTTTTT